TATATATATATATAGAGAGAGAGAGAGAGAGAGAGAGAGAGAGAGAGAGAGAGAGAACACCTGGGTTCAATCCCTGGTTTCAAAAAAATCAAATTACATGAGGATGAAGATCTTACCTGTCTTAGACTTGCTTGATTATCTTATAAAATAGTTGGCACCAATAAACGTTAGCCAGTACTTGTATTTTCCCCGCAGGGGGGAAAAAACTGCTGTGTTCCACTGACTCTCTGGCTATGGAGTGCCTTGGAGTATAAGCTAGGCCCACAGCAGGTGCCCAAATGAGTGCTCGTTGAATGAATGATTTGGCCCTGTCTCACCTCCATAGTGTGACTTATTTTCTGTGGCATTCTCTGCAATGGAGAGGTCCTCAGATGTCCTAGTGGTCTCTGGTGGAGGGAGTTCTGTGGGTTATCTTAGGCTACCAGCAACAGCTCCAATAGATGGCACCTAGATGCTTCAATATTTTCTTCCTCTGGCACAGTATGGGAATTTTCTCTCTGCAGTGGGGTGAGTGGTCACATTTAGGTTAAATATGGGAGGGAAGAAGAGGGAAGGGGAGAACATGCAGAAAACACCAGATGCTCTTTCTAGCTTTTAAAAAACACAGGCATTAGGGAACACAGATTTTTATCACAGTCTGTTTCACTAGAAGGGAGGAATGGGGAAGGGAATAGCAGTCTGTGGAGGGGGACTAATGGAGATCTCAGAACTGGGTCTGGGGTCCAGTGATAATGACAATAAGCATCACAATGACGACAACAGGATTAGCAGACACTGTATGGCAGGTGCTAAGCGTGCCACACGAATTATCTCAGGTAGCCTTCTCAGTAACTCTACAATTATCATCATTCCCATCTTCAGATTAGGAAACTGAGGCCCAGAAGAGCAAGTAAGCCAAATCGTACATTTTCCTCTGTGCAAACTAGTGTACAAATGCATTGAGCTCCTGGGATCGCAGAGCGTGCGAGGTCAGGAAGCACACGTATTAAACCAACAATGATAGTTCTCGGAGGAGGAGGACGGATGGCTGTGGTAAAGGTGGGAGCTCGAGCTTTTATCGTGCTGCGTAATTTTCACACTGGGGCTGTGCAGCCGTGTGGTGCGGAGGAGGGGTGGTGGTGCCGGTGTTCAGGAATCCCAGAGCTAATTTGGAACCGGGTTTTAGGGACTGCAGATCCCGGGTTTAACCCGCAGACTGCGCAGCCCTCCAGGAGCCGCGGGGCCTGCCTCCTGCTGGTGGAGGGGGGCGACCAAACCACCAAACGACATTCCACAGGCTCCTTGTCTCCCGCTCTGGGTTTCCCGGGGGACTCAGGCCAGCCCCGGTGTCTCGGGGGCCTTCGGAGAGCCCTTTGCCGGGTGTCCAGCCCCGCGGCCCGCCCACTGTCGCCGAGCCGACTCCGGGCCAATCAGACCCGGGTGATGCCACTCCGGAGATGAGAGTGGCAGGAAATCAAGGTCAAGGCCCCGGACACAATGGGGCCATTGTCGGTCTCCAGTCAGTTGACTTTCAAGCAGCAGTTCCCCTTCCACCCTCGCTCCCTCTCCCACCCCCATCCCTGCCAGGAAGTCACCCAAACCGCCTGCCTCCTTATTAGCCCCCGCCCAAAGGGAGCCGCATTCTGGGTCCTACCCCTGGAGGCGCCGGCCGGGCTGCCCCCTGCATTATCTATTCCTTCCACCAGGTGGCGACAGAGCACCACATTTCTGGGAGCCCGGAGGGAGAAAAGGGGCAGCTGCTCAATCGCTGATCAGGGCGTGGGGGAACCTTGCCCTTCCTGTTTTATCCCAGAGCGACAAAAAATCCGAGTTAGATTTGCCTTCCCTCATCCTTTACTCTGAGGTCACAAAGATCTGGAATCTCAGGAGCTCTTGCCCCAGCAAACGGCAAAATGGCCGTAAAGTGTAGCACTTTTCCTTGGGGGGAAGAAACTGAAAGGGGAGCCCCCTTACTGAGCAAGTCCCAGCAGGAGGAACCCTGACAGTTTCTGATTGACGGGTTGTGTTGGTGTATAAATAGTATTTCTGACACCTCCCCCATGACGTCCTCCCTCAGAGCAAGTTATAAGTTTCCTTCTTCACATATATCACAGTGTGCATTAGGACACATATTTGATTATTTTCTACTAGAATACACCCTCTATGAGAGCAGGAATAGAGTCAGTTTTTGTGCCAAGTACAGTATCTAGTACATAGTAAATGTTCAGTAAAAATCTGAGAATGTAATGTGTGAACGATGTGTCCACTGAAGTTCCAGAGAATCCAGCATATATGATTACAGGTAGCACCTAGGCCCATTTAGCAGGGGCTAGGGGCCTTGGCCCAGATCATCGATTAGAGAGGAATGTCCCCGGGGCAGAACATTTTGAGATTAAGACATCTGGACCTGGTCTGGCCACCTGGCTTCACAGTTCCACCTCCACCCATCATGTGTTGAGCAACTTTGCACACATGGACCTCTCTGGGCTTCAGTCTCCTCATCTGTTAAATGGTAATAAAAATGTCATCTGTTTCTCTAAAAGCCATTGTGAGTGTGTACAGAGCCTGGAACACTGAGCACCCAGGGATATGAGTCATTATTATTGCTGTATTGCCATTATTGGGCAAGGAGGCCATAGCCCAAGTGCCCAAGTCATGTGCCAGTTGAGGTTCTGGGGCTGCAGCTGTTCTAGTCTTTTTTTTTTTTCTTCCCTGTGAAGTGGTCCAGGAAGCTGTGGCTGGTGGGGCCTGTTCCTCTTTCCAGTTGGCTGGTCTTCCCCTCTGGTTAGAAGTCTGATCTGTCTCTGCTGCCGGGTGTGTGTGTGTGTGTGTGTGTGTGTGTGTGTGTGTGTGTGTGTGTAAAGATAATGATCAAAGCAACACAGGAAAAAAATGCATTTGTTTTTAACTTTTATAGGGGATAGGGCCTGGTCTGGGACATTCCTTGAGGAAGTGACTTGAGGGAGCTGGAGAATGAGAAAGAGGAACTATCCAGAAGACCCTTCCTTTAAAACAGCCCACTCCTAGGGAACACCATAATGTCCCAAAGGAACTCAGGCTCCTCCTGGGCCAGGCAAATGCCAGATGGGAGAAGATTCAAAGCGAACACACCCTAACTACCCAGGCTCCTCCTGAACCTGCTGCCTCACTTGGGCCACCAGCACACAGCCGCAGGATGTTAGGCCTCAGCCTCCCTGCCTGGGGGAGGAAGCAGAGCCTTTTAGGAAGGTGGAGCCTTCCAGGAGAAGCCTGCCAGGGGTTCAAGACCCGGGATGGGGCTAGGACATTGGGCAGTGAACCAGCCCCTCGGGCCAGCATTCCTGGTTGCTACCCCAAAATGGGGCAAGGAGCCAGCTGTGGTTATGGGTGCCCATCCATGCCAGCCGCCAGCACCCTGGGGTGGCTGAGAGCATGGTGTCAGGGTGTTGAGGAGTATCCCAACTCTGCAGTTGCCAGCTTTGGCAACTCCCTTAAATGAGCCTCAGTTTTCTTGCCTATAATATGGGGACAATATAACTGTACCATTCTCACAGGGTGGTTCTGAATATTTAGTGAGCTAATATATGAAACATCCTGGCACATGGTGGGTATTTGATAAACATTAGCATTATTTTTTTTTTTAATCACAAGAATCAGCCAGTTCAAACTTGCTTTTTTTTTTTCTTTTGAACTGGGGATTAAACCTAGGGGCCCTTAACCACTCAGCTACATCCCTAGCCCTTTTTTACATTTTTTTTTTTTTATCTTGAGACAGGGTTTTGCTAAGTGGTTGGCGCTCTTGCTTAATTGCTGAGGCTGTTCTCTAATTTGTGATCCTCCTGCCTCAGCCTCCTGAGGCACTAGGATTACAGATGTGTATCACTGTGCCTGGCAAGAATCAGCCAGTTCAGAGATGAAAAACCTAAGACCCAAGAAGCTAAGTATCTTGCTTTGGGCCCCACTCACAAGTAAAAAGTGGAAAGAGTTTGGATTCAAACTTAAATGTTTTAACTTTCAAAACTGTGCTCCTTGGAGGTGGAAGAAGGAGCAGACGAGTGGTTGGTTGCCTGGGAAGAAATTGGGTGTTTTAGTCAGCTTTTTCGCTGCTGTGACCAAAGGATCTGACCAGAACAATTATAGAGGAGGAAAAGTTTATTTGAGGACTCACAGTTTTAGAAGTCTTAGTCCATAGAAGGCGGGCTCCAGGTGAGGCTGAACATCACGGCGGCGGGAGAGGGTGGCAGAAGGAAGCAGCTCACATCATGATGATCAGGAAGCAGAGAGAGCTTCTCCACTCTTGAGATTCAAAATATATACCCCTTAGCCATGCCCTAATTCCCACCTCCTCCAGCCACTCACTGCCACTTCAGTTCTCACTCAGTTAATCCCTATTAGGGGATTAAATCACTGATTGGGTTAAGACTCTTAGAATCCAATCATTTCTCCTCTGAACCTTCTTGCTTTGTCTCACATGTGAGTTTTGGGGGGTACCTCAGATCTAAACCATCACACTGGGGCTCCTGTTAAAACCATATATTAATGGATTCAACATATGGCTGTAACTGGGGTAAAGGTGGCATGCACTTCCTCTTCTAAAATACAGGATTCAGTCAGGGGCCCCTGCAGGGCCAGGTGCACCAGTTGTGATGGAGTCAGAGCAGGCAAGAGTGGGAGGGGCCAATTAAATCACAGGGCAGGTGCACACCCAGTTCCAGGAGCTGGAGCTGTGCGGAGGCCACTCACCTTGGAATGAGTGGCCAGCCTGAGCCACAAATATCTGCTCCCCCATGTCTCCTGTAGTTTGTGGTGTCCCCTCCCTTACCCATCTTTGTGTGGAATTCCTCCACCTATCCTCTTCCCTCAGTGTAATAATCCCACCTAACAAAAGTGACCATGGCTGATGCTGGCCAGGCTGTGCCTAGGCAAGCCACCAAGCTGGACTAAGCCCCTTCCCCTGTGCCAGGACACTCTGGCCCTGTGGCTTGTCCCCTTCTTCATGAAAACCCAAATGACTCTCATTTTTTTTTAAAAAATGGACACAATATCTTTATTTTATTTATTTATTTTTTTATGTGTTGCTGAGGATCAAACCCAGTGCCTCACACATGCTAGGCAAGCGCTCTACCATTGAGCCACCACTCCAGCCCATGAATCTTGTTTTTGAGACGCTGAAGTTAAACAGCCCTGGGATGTGAGGAGGCAGAAGCAGAAGAACTTTCCTGAGGACACTCTGCTCTCTCCAGTTCTGGAAGGGTGGGCTGGGAGGCTGGGAGACCTTGAAAAGGAAGAGGTCAGATGGTTGCAGAGTGCAGAAGATGCTGTCAGGAGGGGCCTTAGTTTTGGGGGTGAGTTGGCATGGTGGGGGAAGGGGTAATGGTGGCCCAGCTTTGCTATCATCTGCAGACTCTGAAGTCAGGCAGATCAGGTTTGAATCCTGCCTTATACACTGGGTGACCTTGGAAAGTCACTTCATTTCCCTGAGCCTCACCTACCTCATCTGTTAAATGGGTTTAGTTAAACTCATGAGGTTTGTGAGGATTAAAAAAGGTAATGAAGAGCCCAGGGCCAGGGCACACAGCAAGCATCAATAAATGATCTTTGCTGTTCCTGGGGCTGCTGTTGCTGGTGATGGCTCTGAGTTGGGCCAACCTTCAGAGGCAGGTCAACTAGATCTGTGGGGGTGGGGTGCTTCCTCCTAGCCTGATCCTGCTGCCGCTGACACCAGGTCCTTGGGCCTGTCAGGAAGCTGAGGAGGGGAGTCACCAATCCCCAAGCTCACCCATGACACCCTGCTGATCCCCAGAAAGCAAGGTTCCTGGCTAGCCTGTGAAGTGAGATGGGGATCCCTCATGCTAAGGTGATGCCTGATTTCTCCTTTTTTCCACTTATTTCTTCTCTGCCTTAAATCTTCTCCAGTGCCAGAGACGGGCTCCTCTGTGCCAGGGAGAGAGAGGGAGCCAGGGTGGGGCAAAGACATGGAGGAGGTTCCCTAATATAGAGAGGAAAGGGGCTGGCAGTCTTTGACTTTTAAACCCCAGGTTGAAATTGGTGACATGGAGTAATGTGGTTAAAATGTACATCAAAACCGGGTGCAGTAGAGCACACCTATAATCCCAGCATCTGGGGAGGCAGGAGGATCACAAGTTCGAGGCCAGCCTGGGCAACTTAGCAAGATCCTGTTTCAAAAAAGAAAAAAGGGTCAGGGGTGTGCCTCAGTGGTAGAGCAACATCTGGGCTCAATTCTTGGTACCACAAACAAAAACATGTCCCCACCCACTGACACCCCCTTTAGAAAAGAGCTGCCCTTAAGAGCATGGTGCTGCCTGCATAAAAGAGGAAGGAGAGTGTCAAGGAGTAAAGACAAATCTAGTCCCTTTGGCCCTCTGACACCTCCTTTCCCGGAGTGGGGGGTCTGTTGCTCTCACATCCTGGCTTGTGTCCTCCCTGCTACTGAGGGCTGGTGGGGCTGGACCTGGGGAAGGGCACTGTGCAGGCTTGGGGCCCAGCTGGGGCTGAAATTCTGCTCTTCAGCCCTTTCCACTAATAGCCGTCTGACTTTGATTACTCCAAAGTCCTGTTCCTGAGACGGGATCTTTGTGTTTCTCCAATGAGTGGGGCCCCTGGTTCCATCTCCACCCAGTTCTCCCAGAATCTATACAGGGGAAAGCCTGTCCAGGCTTTGGAGAGTTCGGTCAATCTGAGGACCCCGCAGCCCCGACTCCAGCAGGCTGCGCCTACGCGTGCTGGCTCCCGGGTGTAGGAGGTCCTGAGGCAGAGCCTCTGGAGCTGGAGCTGCCGATCTGAGCTGCGATTAGCCTGGAATGTTCCCAGTCCAGTTCGCAGCGAGGTCCAAGGAGACTGTGGGCGGGTCTGGCCCCAGGTTCCTTAGGCTTGGAAACCCACAGGCCTGCCTTCAGGGCCTCTGATTCCCGGGTTGCCTAGCCACAGGCCTGTCCTCTTGACTGTCTACCGCACTGCCGTTTCTCAGCAGCCCACAAAGGCCCACTTGGCTCCCTCTGCCAGAAACTTACCACCCATCATCTTTTTTGACTGGCTGATTTCTACTCTTTTTTTTAAAGGCTCCCTCCAGGCAACTTTTTGACCCCTCTCTTACCCCAGCCCAGTAGTGGCTGCCCCTTCCCTGTCCTAAGTAACTCCTCCCTTATGTCATGTGGCACTCATTATGTTGGCTCCAGAGTACTGCCCAGGGATAGAAACGTAATCTCTGAGTCCTGGTACATAAGCCCTGCATATGGCAGGTGCCCAACTAGAATGGACAAATGACGAGTGGTCACACCTGGCAGCTTTAAGAGCTACAGTTTATGTGGATGTGGGGGTGGTGACTCCTGCTCACAAATGCTCCTCCCACACCTGAGGCTGCCCCTTCTCAGCCCTATATTCTAGGCCTTCTTTCCTTCCACTCAACTCCATCCCCATGTCACAGGTTGATAAGGACTGGGAGGTGGTACAGGAAGGAGTCAAGCATGGGGCCACTGTCAGCTTAGGGATTTTGACCCAAGTTTCCTTTTCTGTTAAAGAGATGATAACAGCATCTTTTTAGGGTGGCCATAAGGACTGAAAGTGGCCATCCCTATAAGATGCCTCCCATCTATCTCCCAAGGCCTGGGATCTCTGGAGAGGGGAGGGCAACTCTGGGATCTGGCTTGACATTCTGGTTGTGACATTTCTGCACCCTTTGTCCCCGCCCTGCCCCATCTCCTCCCTAGGGCTACCCCTCTGCAGTGCTGGGGGAAGTCTGGGATATATGGTTATAGGGGAAGCTCCTTGGACAAATGAGTGGCTTCAGTGAAAATTCTCTGCCCACATGGCTGTGTTTAATTTGGGGGTCTGAGTGCCTCTGGTTTCACAGGCACTCAGTGCTGACCGGCATTCCAGATGCCAGGGGTGTGGGGAGTCACTATCTAGGCCCAAGGTGGAAAGTGGAGGCAGACAGCCCAGGTGTTTATGGAGCTCAGCCACTAGAAAATGGGAATCTGAGAAGTTGTGAGCTGTCACCTCTCTACCAGGCCATCTGCCCCCTGCCATGTTGAGAGGACACACTAGAAAGGGCCAGGACCAGCCCTCCCAAGTCCAATGAGGCTACTTCCCAGGCCAGGTCCCCCACCAACATAGCCCCTGGAAGACAGGTTCTGCCTGCTTCCTCCCAGGGCATTGGATAGGCATTGTGGGAAAGCTTCACCTTCCCACACTCTCCCAGAGGCCAGCAAGACATCTTGGGTGGAGGCAGAAGGAACTTGGGGGAAGTGTGGAAGCCAGCATGCACCCACCTTTTCTCTCCACTACTCAGCTCCCACTCCCACCCACCCCTTGGTGGGTGGCGGGACACAAGGGATAGAATGTATGAAGACTGGAGGCAGTCTAGCTGTGTGTGACTTTGGGCAAGTGACTTCATTTCTCTGAGCTTCATTTCCTAAGATGTAAATGAGGATAACAACAGCATATATCTCTTAGAAAGTTGTAAAAATTAAATAGTCAAGTAGGATTAAATAACAAATTAAAGGATTAAATAATAAAATTTATGCATTAAACAAAGAGGCCATTTGAACAAAAAGTGGTAATATTATTTTGTGGGGTGGGGGGTAGGCAGTACTGGGAATTGAACCCAGGGTCTTGCACATGCTTAGGCAAGCACTATACCACCAAGCTACATTTCCAGCCCTTTTCAAAAAAAAAATCATTCTTTTATTTTGTGATAGAGTCTTACTAAGTTGCCCAGGCTGGCCTTGAATTTGTGATCCTCCTGCCTCAGCCTCCTGAGTAGCTAGGATTATAGGCATGCACCACTACCTCCAGCCTAGTATTCCTATTATCATCTGTCCTTGCTGTGTTCCCAGCATCCACCCAGGACACTTTAATGCAGTTCAACATAACAGAATCTGTTTAACATTTATGATTCCTTAAGGAGGAACTCAATGTGCTCAAACAACGGGAGAAAAGAAGCCCCCAGGTTCTCAGGCAGGGCTGCCATGGCTTTCTGTACTCTGCCTCCTGTTGAGTACCAGATGGTCCTGGGCTATCCTTAACCCTTCCAAGTCCCACAGCTTGGGGAGATCTTGTTGCTTCTTCCTTGGTTGGGACAGTCAGGCAGGTAGGCAAACCTGTCACCTAAGACTATGTCTCATGGCTTGGAGGCCATGCTACAGGAGCTAAAAAGCAGGTGGAGTGGGGTAGTAGGGATGCCTGGCTAGAAAAATAACAAGATGTACCATAGCCCCACCCCACCCCACCCCCGCCACCTTTTTTTTTTTTTTTTTAATTTTGAGACAGGGTCTCTCTAAGTTGCTGAGGCTGGCCTTGAACTTGCAGCCCTCCTACTTCAGCCTTCCAGGTCACTAGGATTTATAGAGATGTGCCACTGCACCCCTACCCAGTTTAATCTATTCTTTCTATAGAGATAGTTCAGAGGCAATGACACTAGAAGCAAACGGGCCCCCTTCTTCAGTGTTAGGGTCTCAGGTGTAACCAAACTCAGCTTTGTACCACCCTCAGTGTAGGGTGCTAGCAGAAGGGAGCGGGAAAGACTGAGAGACCCACAAGGCCCACAAGGCCCAAAGGCCCTGGGCCATAGGAGGAAAACAGGTATAAAAAATACTTCAAGGTTCTAGCCTTACTATATGGAACAACTCAAGGGTTAACCTTGGTCCCCACTTACAAACGCACCCACCTTGTCCATATCTGTAAAGAGAAAAGGAAGAAAGATGCTGTTGGAGCTTGTAGGCTGCCTTATTGCCTATAGCTGCAGCTGGATAACCATATTTGTGTGCCCGTTGAGGGACCCTGGGACTTCTAGGCAGGCCACCTTGGAGTTCTCTCCTGTAAGACAAGAGGCATGAAACTGAAGTTCTGCCTGAGGATTTAGGCCAGTTGGTGGCCCTGGCCACAGTTGCTCCTTAAGGCCAAGGCCTGGGTTAAACTGCTGGCATTATACAGCACCCTCCTTCCAGCCACCAGAATAGGTGGTATTGACACACTTTTGAGGGGTCCTGCACCCCTCTCTAGGGGCAGCACAGAGATGCTCAGCCTTTTCAGCAGTCTGTGGAGGGTTAGGCCATGGAGGGGCTGCTGGGTACTGGTGTTTCCTGGGGAGGCGTTCTGGCTGCCTGGGTGGTGAGTCCTTACCTGGAAGCAGAGCAGCCTCTCCCACCCAGATTCAGGCCAGACTGTGGAGTGGAAGAGAAGCCAAAGCCAGTCAGGACCAGGCGTCTGGAATGGCTGTTTTGTTGGATGGGTCCCAGGCCTGGGGCTCTGCTGCCCAGGCCCTGCCATTCTTCTGAGGAATGGGGGCTGGGGATGTATCCTGGCCAGGCCTTGAAAATGAGAAGGCCAGAGAACCAGGGGAATGGAGGATGGTGTGTGAGTGTGTGCAAATGTCAATGTGCCAAACCCAATAGCTTCTCTCCTAGGAGTTCTTTTATTAAATGCCCGATCCCAGCTCCTCCTCCTATGGCTGATGGAGCACAGAGGGCTGGGATACCACAGCCTCACGGGCGGAACCCCACCTCTCAGCTGCCTGGAAATTTTAGTCAGGGACCACACAGGGTACTGCAGCTTCCTGTCACCAATCAACAGGCGGCAAGAGAAGGCGCCTGGCGTCCTCAGAGAGGGAGGTGGCCATGTGGAGAGGCTGGCAGATTTCCTGGGTGTGGAGGGAAGGGATAGGGTTCGGGGAGCAGCCTTCTCCAGGGTGTTTCAGGAGGAAGATAAGCACCAAACTAGGTTCTGCTAGGTGTGTGTCCAGGTCCTGTTTTCCCCACCCCTCCCACTCAGCCTGGTTCTCCCTCTCCCCACTCTTGAAAGATCCTGTGATTCTTTTTTTTTTTTTTAAAATATTTATTTCTTAGTTGTACACAATACCTTTATTTTGTATATTTATATTTATGTGGTGCTGAAGATCGAACCCAGGACCTCGCACGTGCTAGGCAAGCGCTCTACCACTGAGCTACAACCCCAGCCCTGATCCTATGATTCTTTATCACAGTTCATAATTCTCCACTTGCTAAGTGGTTTGGTTGAGGTCCACGCTCCCTATGGGTCATGCGTTTACTGGATGGTGCTATTAGGATGGAAGAGGTTATGCCTGTTTTCATTACTGTCTCCCCAGTACTTGGCACTCCCCAGGGTGGTCAAAAAGTGGGTGCTCAATACACATTTGGTAAGTAAATGAATTAAAGAATAAATTCCTCTGGCAGATACCATGAGCTTCTTGTTTATTTTTGACTCCCCGACCCCTGGCCCCGTGCCTGGCATAAAACCCCACTCAATCATGTGGGATGGAAGACTGAGATTAAAGGTGAGCTAAGAGACACCTTTGCAGATGTGTTATTGAGAGTCTTATCTATCTACCTTTCAGGCAGTGAGGACATGGCTTCTCCTCTAGGTAGTCCTGGGAACAAAGGGGTTCCCAGAGGAGCTGAGAAGGCAGAAGGCAGTGCTGACTCAAAAAGGTGAGGCCTCAGTTGGGTGGAACTGCAGGTGCTCTTCCAGGTAGGCTGCTGTGTGGGGGTAGAAATCTAGGGCAGGACCAGAGGACATGGTCTCAAGGACTGTATCATTCACATCACTGAAGCCTCCTGAGGGTGGAGATTGAGTACAGAGCTCCCACAAGTGCCACTCTTTAGACCTGAGAGTCTTGAGGTCAGATGGGGCTCTGACCTTCAGGTTATCCCTTGCCTTTGCACAGACAGGAAGTCTCAGACACATCTGGGGAACTGAAGGACAATGAGAACAGTGTAGGAACTTGTGCTGTGCTTGGAATAGATCCCCTGCACTAGCAGCAGAGCAATAGCACTGTGTCCTGGGAGGTGATGCTCTTCTCAGGGTTGGAGTTCCCCAACGTCTCTGACCATGGGATCAATTATGGGGCTCATCATCCACATCTGGAAGAACTGAGGAGGTAGGATCTCCTGGAGCTCAGGGCCCAGTTCTAAATAGATTTGAGGTCTGGAGTTTCCAATCCAGAATGGCATCTCAGAGCATGAAAGCCACTTAGGTCCTGTCTTGTGGACATCCCGGTGGGCAGTGGAGTGCACTCATCCAGGACCCACTCCAGCAAGGATTTGAGTGTCTATCTGGCCAGCTATGAATCAGAACCAGGATGGACAGAGAGGCAACCCTGTGCTAAATGTTAGGATTTGAAACCACAGCTTGTATGCCACTTGAGAATTAATTTAATCTTTAGCTCGAGGGGTTGCAAAACCCCCCAATTTAACTAAACCAAAACAAAATTAAATGTTAGTGACTGACTAGCAGGCAAGCAGAGAGGTGTTGTTTCAAGGACTCTCTTTTAAACTACACATAAACTGATTTTTAAAAAATTTTAAATTTTTGGTAGAGAAGCATTTCTTCAAAGATAGAAGTACCTAAAATGGATACAGGATAGTGTGTGGACACACAGAGAACTTCTTTATGTTTTTTTAAAACACAAAAAAGTTTATCAGCCACTTTGGCAGTTTTCATAAAGGTTGACTTGGGATTCAAATAATAGAGTATTTCTCTATGGAAACAGCATATTATCAAGTGGAATGATCCCCAGCAATGCTAAGGCTGGGAAGCAGGTCTCTGTCCTGAGCCATGCAGGTGTTTGGCAGGCCTGAGAGGCTTACCCAAATAGAGTCCTCTGGAGAGCTGACCCAGAGAGGGGCTCACACATGCAATAAACTTACTTTCTTTCTCTCTTTCTCATTTTGATTTCCTTTACAACCTGAAGCCAGATGTGGTCACTTTAGCCTACGACTGCCGCCCAGGTGCCTGTATCAGGAGGCCAAGCTGAGGCCCCAGCAGGTAGGGCCCCCGATCTAACAGGTGCCCAGCGTGTGGTGTGCGCGTGCTGTCCGGAGGCCCCGTACCCGGCCCAGCTCGGAGCCCGAGGACTTGGAGAGCAGCCGCGCACCCTCTTCAGAGGTGCCTGGGGAAAAAGCGGGAAACAGGGCTGATCCTTCTTCGCTCCTCCTTAAATTCCAGCGTCCTCGGTTCTCTGCGCCCTGGGTGCGGCCTACTTAACCATCTGCCCGAAAGCCGGGCGGCTGCCAGAGCAGAGCCGGAGAGGCCGAGAGGACCAGTGGGGCGGGAAGGGAGAATGGTGAGTCCTTGGGGGCAGCATCCTATGCGCGCTGCTGGGCTCGCGGGCAGCCCAGCCACCTGTACGGGCGCGGCACCGCTATATCTCTGTCCCAGGCCTGGGCGCGCAGAGCCACGGAGCTGGCCTGAGGGCGGGGCTGCGGCGGCGCGGGGAAGCGTCCCCCTCTGCCCGGCCTCTCTCGAGCGCAGTGCGGGCGCGCCCAGCACCCGAGGAGCCGGCAGACACCCCATTCGCCCCCTGGCGGCGCTGGGACAAGCTGGGCAACACCGCCGCGGCGGAATGAGCTGTCCACAGCAGCACTGGGCGCCGCCCGAGGTCACGCAAGAATCTGCCTGGGGCTGGGAACCCGAGAGGAAAGCGGGCTTAGGAAGGAATGGGGGGAGTGGATGAAACAAAGCGACTGTGAGATCTGAGGTTTCCTCTGCATCATATCCTCCAAATCCTTGCGAGCTTCTCCACTAGCGTGGTGATTGACACGGGGATCTCATATCTGAGTGGTCCTCCCTCCCCTCACCAAGTCTCCCTGGAAATAGAAGCCTCGTTCCCGTTCTCACCCTTTCTGGAAAATATGCCCATATCTCCATTCCTTCCGCAGTGACCTGACAATAGCAGCCTTGGCCCACCCAGCCTCACCCCAGGCCTGCCACGCCTGGGAGAGCTCTGAGGTGGTGCCAGGAGGTTTCTTTGGGAGAAGAACAGCATTCAAAATGGTCCCTTTAGTGCTCACGAGGAGTCTGGCACTGCCCCGGGCCTTATGGAAGGTAAAGATCTTGACCTCTGGGTGTTTCAATCTCAGAAGAAAAACACACTCAGGAGATGATGGGCACAGCTAGTGGCCTGGCAGCAGGAGCCTCAGGGGAGGGCACACTGGGGATGGGATGGGATGGGTTGTAAACACTGGAGCTATCAGAACTTGCTAAGTGGACAAGATTTGGAAAGAGAAAAGGAGAGTATTCTTGGCCAAGTCTGGAGTGCAGTGGAGGCTGGTGTGGGAGGGCAAGGCTGGTGGACCCCAGGGGCCCTGTAAGGGTATGTTTCTTCAGTGGGAGAGAGGGGAAGAGGAAGAACTGGAGGTTGGAAGCTGCTCTGGAAGGCAGCAGCAGCACAGACCTGGCAGATCTGAGTGCAGGCTGAGGTGGGGAAAGGAAGTGAGGCTGTGTGTGCAGGAACAGGTGCCAGGGAAGGAGGGAAAGGGCTTCTGGCCTAGGAGGGGACCACACAGGCCCATGCTCCTTGCCCAGGTCAAGTTTTCCTCAGGTGGCACTGATACCTAAGCAATGCCAGTGCAGGTGTCCCCAGCTTCTTCAAAGGACTGGGTTAGGTTTTTGTCAGGAAGGAGGAAGCCTAGGTCATGGTTTGAGGAGGGAGCAGCTCCAGGCTAGTTCCAAAGGCAAAGGATTAAAAAGAGTGAAGCAGGTCTCTGGGGTGAGAAGGCAGGCTCCGGAAGCCTCCGGGAGAGGAAGACAAAAGAGGGACCAGTAGGGGGCGCAGGGCCTCTGAATCTCAGGTCCACCAGGGCTGGCAGGAGCTGGCTGGCTGTCAGTTTCTGCCCCATTCCTCATTCCATTTTCCCTATCAAAGTCATTTAAGGTAATTGGGGAGATCCCTTCCCACACAGCCTCTGGTATTGTACAGATGGAACAAACTCAGAGTGGGTTCTCAGGCTGAAGCCCTAGGAAACACCTCCAGGAAAAGGAGGCAGAGTCAATAGTCTTCTGGGTAGGAGTGGGGTGGCCTTCCGGGATGTGTGTGTGTAGGAACAGGTGCGAGGGAAGGAGGGAAAGCGCTCTGGCCTAGGAGGGGACCACACAGGCCCATGCTCCTTGCCCAGGTCAGGTTTTCTTTCCTTATCAGTCAAACTACAGCCAAATGAGAATCCATTTACACTTGCTTTGGTTGAATTCCTCCAGAGTCAGCCACTCCCTTCTTCCTCTTCCATAAGGGGCCTAGGTGAACGTAGGGAGACACTTGTCTCATTTTTTCATATATGCTGTTTATGTGGGTGCTCCTAAAGGCTTGTGACACCTGTAGCATCTGCTTCCATTATCCCCCTCTCTCTCAGAACAGGCCCCAGAGGGAAACTTGATCTCTCAGCCACCTTTCTCTGCCACTCCTTTTTAAAAGTTGTAAACATAGCCATCAGTTTATAAGTTTCTACTTTGTGTCAGACACTGTGGTCAAGCAAGCTAGGTTCTCAGGACCTGATCTGTTCCTTAAAGGAGCTAAGAGCCCAACAGCCAGATTCCTTGGCTGGCTCTGGCTCCCAGCCCAAGACAGGCACAAGGGGTTGAATACTGTTCCCTAAGCCGATACAGAGAACATGGATCAGGTTTGGTGTCACTCATCTCCACTTCAACTCCATCCTTAAAGCATCATATCCTGATGATTCTGGGTCATCTGGGGGAAGGCCTGAGACTCACAGGAAAGGGAATGTGAACACCCCTTTCAACCATGCCTGGCAGTGGTGGCTCAGTAAATATTAATTGACTTTGAGGACAAGATGTACTTTGACTTACCTCTGGATAATGAAATAAACCTGTCATGTAAATCTGAAAAGGCAACAGAGATTCATTAGGTTGAACTGAAAAGAAATTGGGCTGAGGGTTAATCAGACTCTTGTTATCCAAGGAGAAAATCTACTGTGGTCTTCTCTAGCTTTCTTCAAGTTCTTTGAAGCTAGGGTCAGAATGATGTTGAAAACGAATAATCCTGCCTCTCAGAGAAAGCCTTGCTCCTGAAGCCCTGCAGAATTGGAGGAGAGAAACGGGGATTAGATGCCCCGGAGGTACTACATGTCTGTGACAGCATTAGGGTTGTCTAAGAACCTGGCCTCCGACCTCATCCCTGAGGAATCACTCCCTGATGGTGCTGGGTTGGCTGGGGGAGGCCTGAGAGCCACAGAAAAGACCTGGTGTGAATGCTCCTTCCAACTGTGCCTGGTAGTTTTGGACTCTTGGAGCTGGCAGAAGGTGCCTTGCTTTCGGCTCTTTCAGGAAGAAAAAAAAGCCATGGCAATGTCCTAGACCCTCTGACCAACTCAAGACCTGGTGCAGGCTACTTAACTTCGCCAGGCTTGGTCCCTTCTCTGTGAGATGAAGAGATAGGAATATTGGTTTTGAAAGGGGACTGGGAAGATTTACAAAAACTGTAAAATGCTTCCCACTTCCTTATACAAAGTAAGAGCTCAATAAATGGTTGATATTCTATGATTTTGATGATGATGATAGAATGTAGCTCATAACTACCAACAATTATGATATATACCCCTTATCATGCTCAGCTATCTTGAGACATACTCAGAATAGCTACTGTGTTTTTGTTTATTTTTAAAGATGGTTTAGTTTTTCCTTGCTACTAGGGATTGCACCCAGGGTCTTGCATAGGCTAGGCAAGTGTTCTACACTGAGCTATATCACCAGCCCTTTACTTTTTTATTTTTATTAGTGAGATAGGGTCTAAGTTGCCCAGGCAGGCCTTGAACTTGGGGTCCTCCTGCTTCAGCCTTCTGAGTCATTGGGCTTACAGGCATTGCCACTGCAGTTGGTTTTAAGATGGCTTTTTTTTCTATATATAAAAAGGAAGAACATCATCTCAAAATAGTGTCTATGAAAATGACCTGTAGAAATAAAATGAGGTAAGGGCTGGGTAAGGGTAGAGTAAATGAGTGTATAAATTGCTGAAGAAGGACATAAAGCTGAGGCAGGATGCCTGTGCCCCTTCTTTTATCCAGGTCCATCTCTGCAGCCATGTGGGACCCGTCCCCTCTCAGAGCCCCATCCTCTTCTGAGCAGTGTCCAAAGCATGGCTCAGGATGAAGCCCAACTGTGGTGTAAGGCAGGCAGTTTCTCACTCTGTCCTCTCCCAGGGAAACATGCACCTGTCACTATGATGGGTTAGCAGGAGCCATGCAGAGTCCTCTAGAACTGTCAAGCAGGCACAAGACAAAACATTTACATCTAATATTTTGGAAGGATCAAATGTGGTTCTCAAAAAGCTCAGACGTGCAAGCTTTGGAAAAGGCCCAGGTTTGGCTCCCTTTAACTCCCAAATTCTTGTGGGATGTTGCAATTACTTGTGACAATCCCTCTCCCTGCCTGGGACTTTAATTTCAGATTTAGACATGTAAGACTGGGTGGCTGGCTGGGTCTTGAGCGACTTGAGGGTGGGGTGGGGACTGGCTGGGGAGAATAATTTTTGCACCATGTTTTCTTTGGAAGGGAGATCTCAAAGAATCAAATGATGTAGCTCTGTTTGTATTACTAGAATTTTCAGCCACTGTAGCAGATTCCTTGTCCCTGAAATTGGTTCACTTTGCTGAGTAGTTCATTCTGTCCTTTGAAATCCAAATGTCTAGGAATCATTTCTGTAATAGTCTTAAGTTAGAGTAACTTACCATTTACTCTCATAAATTCCATAGTCCTTCCATGAAATATTATCCCCTGGATAAGTATTAGGTGAAGAAGATCTATTAAGGCCAGGTGGAATATTTAGTGGTGCAGGGAGAGGTAAATAAATGCAAAAAAAAGCTGGGCAAAACATGTATGGATGTCAGGACTCTGTGGCCTGAGTGCCAAGGTATGTAACCAAAAGGCTTTGGGCAAACTGCCTATGTCTTTGCATTGCTACTGTACGTGGCCTGAACACATTCAGCTTTTCTGAGGGACCTCAACTCTATGTTGGGCTCCTTTTTCCTACTACCTGGCTGCCACACCTGGTCTGAGAGCCTATGCAACTTTAGTTCTGGCTCTTTTGACTTTCATACTGGCAATGAAAACAATGGATGCTGCTAGTCCAGAAAGAGATTTGAGCAGATGGGCTAGGTTCTTCTTGCTTCACCCCTAGGCCTTTGTCATTCAGTCTGATGTAAAAGCCTATCTCTGACATCGGTGTACCTAGCAAAGTTGGGGATCAATAATAGCTAGGGGCTGCAGATGTAGCTCAGTGGTAGAACACTTGCTTAGCATGCGTAAGACACTGGGTTCTGTCCCCAATACTGAACAGGAAAAAAAAAAAGGCTAGGAATTCCTAGATGCTTTGTGGAGTTCAGGCTGGTAAGCAGAGTCATAGGCTAGGATTGACAAATCTGGGGTCATGAGTTCTTTTTGCTTATTGGCAGTTGGCATAGAATCACCAACACTGCTATTCCCCCAAAATACTTGGTGAGCACTCTTCTTTTTCCAAGATATCAGCTCATATAGAGCTCAGAAATGATACAGAATAATATGAAGAGAGAAGATCTGAATGAAGGGTTATGTTGAGGTCAACCAGATTCTCAGGGAAGTCTAGATTGAAGGAAATGCTAGATTGACCTATTCCAGATCTGAAATATTAGAATTTCTAAAGGAGCAAGATGAGAAGGGAGATTGAGACTGAGCTGTAAGAGCAGGGGAGAAGAGAGACAGAACAATCTCTCTGGAGTTCTTTTGGGTCTTGGAAAGATAAAGCTCAGAATTCCTAAGCAAAAGCAAATGCCCAACTGTTTAATCTATCTCTAGGTAGGATGAGGGAATGAGTAAGCTCTGATTATAGGACAGAGAAATACAAGGATCTGGTGGTTCAGGGCACCAGCCCACTCCTGAGGGACTCCAGAGTCAGGAGAATAGAGAATGTCTCCCCTGAGGGTGCCTTTAAGAATACAGCTGAGACATTCTGTTTCTGGATGAAAAGTCTCAATATCAATATAATCAATAAAATCCCAACCAAAATTCCAATAAGACATGCTAAATGAAATTTGATAAGCTGATTAGAAAGTGGATCTGGAATGAAAAAATATGGAAGGACAGAAAAATGATTTGTAGGGGGTGGAAACAATGAAGCTTTGTATGAAATAGCATCCAAAAGCTACAACAATGAAAATGGTGTGATATGGGTTCAAGAATATAAAAAAAAGTTAAAAAAAAAACAGAATCAAGAAACAGTACTGAATATATGAGAGGTGTTTGGTTTTAGTGTTTGTTTGTTTTTCTTTTTTGGTACGGGGGATTGAACTCAGGGATACTTAAACACTGAGCCACATCCCAGCCCCTTTTTTATATTTTATTTAGAGACAGAGACTTGCTGAGTTGCTTAAGGTCTCACTAAATAGCTGAGGCTGTCTTTGAACTTCAGAACCTCTTGCCTTAATCACCTGAGCTGCTGGAATTACAGGTGTGTGCCACAGCGCCTGCCTTTATGAGAATTTTGAATATGAGAAGGGTAGTGTTTCAAGACACTGGGGAAGAGGATGGTCTACAGAATAAATAATGCCGGGCAGCATGCAACTGTCTGGGGAAAAAAATTAGATTCCTAATCCACACCATTTATTATGAAATAAATTCAAGATGGGTTAAAGAACCAACACAAATACAACCCTAAAAGAAACACAAGAAAATAGAAATATGATTATTATTTATAGATAGGGAAGCCTTCTTTAAAAGCCATAAAATAACAAGCCATAAAGGAGAGGAATAACACATTTTGATGACATCAAAATAAAAAAACTTCTTACAACCCAAGACACCATTAATAAAGGTTAAAAAAAAAAAAGTCAGTCAGTCTGAAGTGAGGGGTGGCTCATTCTGCTAGGGATCAGATTGTGAGATAAGATGGCCTTGGAGGCCTGTCTGCTTCCTCACAATTCCCTGTGTAAGTCAGGGTTCAGGAGTAGGTAAATAAATACCAAAAGGTAGTTGTACTTCATTGTCCATCATCTCTAGAGCCCTGCGATCAAGAGCTAACTCAAGTCATAGTTATCAAGAGCCAGCTGAAGATAAATGGGCTAAATGGAGCAGGATGTAGGAGAGGAGGAGGTAAACCAAGACGGAAGGAATAAAAGGAATTTTGCTGGCCTCAGACAGGAATCAGAAGGAGGGACTGCTTCAGTAGACAGCATCTCCAGTCCTTGGATGCATCTTTCATAGAGTAGATGTGGCACAGGAGCTCCTCCCAAGACCTCATTTCTCCTGCATAAAGAGGATTCTGTCACCCTGTGTAGGCTTTAATCATCTCCATGAGACCCCTCTATTCTGTTCTCTTCTGGGAGACAACCCCTGCTGACCCCACAGTGGTAGTGATGATGGATGTGCCCATATTCTTAGGTGGATAAGGTGCCTTGTATGGTATGACAGCTCCGAGTCAGAGGCCTATGTCTTGGAGACTTTACTGTTTTATGTCTAGAGAACACTCTGACACAGGTTCCTAAAGCAAATTCTGTGAAGAATTATATCAGCCAAGTCACCCTAAGAGGATCAGGATCTGCTCTTGGGAAAGCCAGGCAACCACCCTGCTCAGCTACTGTCACCCCATATTCCCACTTGTGAGCTGACTCTGAGCTCAGAGGATGTCTGCCTGATTCAGGTAGGATGACAGCCATATGCAAGTCTTAGGAAATTTTGTGGTATTTTATGCTAATTGGTAAGCCGGGTTGAGTCCATGGACCTCGGGTTTGAGAAGAAGCAAAAAATTCTTAGGAAGGAAGGTAGATGCCATTTTCTAACACGAACAAGAGGAGCAACAAAGACAAAGTGCACCGAAAAAGCAGGAGACAGCACCACGACTGGCCAGAATTGGCGCTCAGCCTTAATGATGGAATTATATTCCAAGAAGCATCAGAGAATCCCACAGGCCCTAATTTGCCTTTCCGAGATGTTTCAGGATTTTGAGGGTAAAGAGTAAGGAGTAAATAAGTGCAGTTGGGGATATGGCCAAGGCTCCAGAGGCCACTGGCCTTTGGGAAATTTTACAAAATGGACCAAGGAGCATAGATTCAATGTCTACAGAAGGAAACAACTCCTTAATATCAAAATATAACAGTGGCTGAGTACCAACTATGCACCATGTATTCAAGTGAGGGCAGCATGAAGAGAGCTCTGCACCCCTACCCCCCATCACCACACACCTAGCAAACCTGCCTCTCACCTCTGAGGTGATACCAGAGTAGTCCACTCATCTGGCACAAAATATAGCAGTTTAGAGAGCTTTCTAATCGTTTAACTCCTATTTTTCAGAAAACTAGGAGACAGTTAGCTTACAACCCCTAACTTTCCACATGGATACAGGAGACTTCAGCCAGCCAATGAGGAGAGTAGCTCTCCTTCCTTGATGCCCAAGCAACCCTGCTTCCAGGCCCTTTTTACTAATAGTCTTGCCAATCAGCCAGGCTGAAGGATGAGGACTCACAGAGACCCCCCAGGAGGAGGGTTCTATCTCTGTTTTCGGAGTGCAACCAGTGATTTTGAACTTCTGTGAGATGTGGCTTCCCTTGAGAGTTTTGATGAAAACTATGGATTCTGTTCTCAGAAAAATGTTCATTGCACATTATAGGTCTGATCATGTGTAAAATTTCAGGAGCTTTACATACCCTGGAAGTCCTTGCTTCAGAGTTCCTATCAACACAGATCACTCCTTTTCTTAATCTGGAACTATTTCCTGGGGCTGATTAACTGCTCTTAGATGTCCAACAGGTGAATTAATATGTAGCATTGACCTCTAGTTGTCCCATGTCTTTGGCAGATGGCAGATTTATTGCTTGTAGCCAGAAGAAAGTAAAGCCCCTGGACCATGACCACATTTTGTTTTTCACACTCCTCCTGAAAACCTCAGGCACCTCTGAAACAGACCTGGAACACAGATACAAAGTGACAAGCCAAAAATAAATCTGATCCTGTATACAACCAGATCTATGAAGTCAGAACCATAGACTGGGTCTTCCTTGGCAGGAAGGAGAAAAATGAGGATAGATCCAAAGGTACACTGTGAAATAATCAGAATGGGTCTCTCTTCTTCCAGATGGATGAAGATTTAGCTGATCATCCTGGAGAGACACCTGGTCTTTTCATTATCTACTGGCAAGTGGAGGCTACTGGAAGCTATATCCTTAACTATTATCCGCCTTCCACATGGGACTCCCTTTTTACCAATAATAATGAGGAGAAGGATAATGATGATAATAGTAGCATTTATTAAACATTATTTGTGCCAAGCACTGTGCTATAAACTCTTGACAAGTTATTTCACTTAATCTTTCCAACAATCAAATAAGGTAGGCACTCTTATTATCTCATTTAAAGATCAGGAAATTGAGACTAGGAGACATTCAGTTGAGTAGCTTAAGGTCATAGGAGCTAGTGAGTGATAAAGCCTGGTTTTGCACCAAGACCTGATTTCAAACCTAATACTTTTAACTTACTCCTGCTGCTCCTTCCCAAAATACCAGGCAGGACTCAGACAAAAGTCTTGGAAGTCCTCCAGAGTGATGAAATGGTCTTCCAGTCGGTACCCACCTGTTTCATCCCCTGCCCACTGAGTAGCAGTCTGGTACTCAGACTCATTTTTTGGAGAGCTGCTTGGAAATCCTCAAGTTCTATCTCCTATTGCTAGATGACTTTGCTTTTTTAATTCACATGCCATAGCCCTAAATTTATCAAGAAGCCTAATTTTATTTATTTAGTTTTTTATTTATTTTAATTAGTTACACATGACAGTACATACGCTTGAATCAGATGGGATATAATTTCTCATTTTTCTGAGTGTACAGGTTGCAGAATCACATTGGTCATGCAGTCACGTATATACACATAGCAATAATAATGACTATTTTATTCTACTGTCCTTCCATTCTCCCCTTCCTCTCCCCTCCCCTCCCATCACTTCTCTCTACCCAATCTAATATGACCCACTTCTTTTTTTTTCCCCTCACATCGTCATACATGTATTCTGTATAACGAAGGGGGTCTCCTTCCATCTTCCATGCAATTCCCCTTCTCCCTCCCTTTCCCTCCCACCTCTCTTCCCTATCTAGAGGCAATCTTCTTTTCATGCTCTTCCTCCCTACCCCATTTTGAGTCCTAATTTTATTTTAAACTCAGTTGAGCCCAAGAGCCTCATTTCTTCCTCAAGTTTAGGATGAAGAAGACTCTTTTTTCTACTTCATCCCTAGAAAGTTGTTGGTGGTTCCCATTTTAAAGATTTGACAATGGAGCTAAGGGAGTTGGGGGTATAGTTCAGTGGTAAGGTGCTTGCTTAGTATGTATGAGGCTCTGGGTTTGATTCCTAGCATTGGGAAGCGGGGAAGATAGGAGATGAAGAACAAAGAGCAAAGACACTAGAATTTGGTGAAGTATCACCAAGAGTGCTGGTGCTCTGTGGAGGTCCAGCTTCCCTATGTGTTTCCTATCCTCAATATTTGAAAATGGGGTATATTGCCCCTCAAATAGCTAGTCTCCTCCCTTTCCTCGACCAGTGGATTCAGGAGAGTGAGTGTCCCCAGCTCACCAAGCAAAAGGCCCAGGAAAATGCTGCCTATCATATGCCCAGTGACCTAAAGGGCCCCTAAGTGCATGCTGAATGGCAGAGCCCCAACTAGTGGTAATTTGGGGCGGGTATTGACGTTTGGGTGGGCATTAAGCTATCTAATGAGTCCGGGGTTACTTGTCCTTGCCCCAGAGCATTTTATTTTGTAGATGAAATAGCTAGGGAGAGAAGATATTGAGGTTTATATAGAAGAGGGACATGGAGAAAGCTAAAGAGGTTGGGAGCAGGCAGAGAAAAATCACCTCTTGTTCAGGGTCTCTCTTCTATGCTACGTGTAGGCCAGAGATGAGATAAAACACAACAGATCCTCATTCAAAGTGGATGAAGAAGCAAGTCCCAGAGACAGGTGACTCTCAGAAGTGGTCTGGACTCACTGGAGTCAAGTTCTTGAGTCATCAGATGTTTACCGAGTACCTCCTGTGTGCCAGACTTGACTGGGCACTGGGGATGCCACAGTGAATTCTACCCTCAACATCAGACCATCAATAGAAAGAAAAAAAAAAAAACATGAGCCAGACAATGTGGACCATGGTGAGCTATATGAAGAAAACTGGACAGAGCAGCGAGAGTGACTGGAAGGGGCCCCTTCAGTTCGGGCTGTCCAGAAAAGCCTCTTTGAAGAGCTGAAGCTTGATCATGAAAAAGGTCCAGCCACAAGAGGATCTGGAGGAAGTGCATTCCAAGAAGAGGAAAGAGCAAAGCCAATGGCCCTTAGGTGACAACAGGCTCCATACATTTAAGCAGTGGAAAGGCAATCAGCATGGCTTGAGAAAAATTAACAAGGAGATAAGAGGAAGGAGAGAAAGCTGGAAAGTTAGGCTGGGCCAAATCGTAACAGCCTTGCAACCATAGCAGAGTTAGACTTTATTCTTAATGGATGACAAGCAGAAGAATCACACCAAACAATTAAGATTTTTTAAAAGATCACTCTGGCTACTGTGTGAAGAATGGCAGTAGAGAGACCAGTGAGGAGGCTTTAGGTAAGAAAATGGGTGACCGTATAATTTGTCATCCAAACAAGGACAGGTATAAGTGAACAGGACTGCTACAAATACTTAAGCAGGGCCATCATGCATACCCAGGATGGTTTCAAAGTCGGATGAATGGACATTCTGGATATGACGGGGGTCTTGGATCAACAGCATCACCTTGTTAGAAATGCAAATTCTCAGACTCCACCTCAAAACTGCTGCATCAGAAACTCAGGATGGACCCAACAGTCGATTCTTTGCAGTGGTGGGAGTTATTGAGCCCAGGGCCTCAGATGTGCTATTTAATGTTCTATCACTGAGATACACTCCCAGCTCATGCAGCAAGCAATAGGTATTTTAACAAGCCCTTCAGGAGATTCTGATACAGGTTGAAGTTTGAGAACCACACAGTAGTGTATATGAGGGGATGTGACCAGGTGCAGGTTATATTTCATTTTTTAATTTTATATATATATTATATATACATACATACACACACTATATTTTGAGACAGGATCTTACTAAGTTGCTTAAGTCCTCACTTAGTTGCTGAGGTTGGCTTTTTTTTTTTAGGTTATATTTTAGATTAAGTGTTGAAGGAAACTAGAGTCTGGAATGAGCTCTTTGCTTTTGGTTGTGCAATTTGTGTATGGTGGTGCTCTTTAGTGCAATGGGAGAACTAAGATGGGGGGAGAAATGGGTTTTGTGAGGGAATTAAGCTTCCGGTTCAGATGTGTGAAGTCAAGAGTACAGAAATAGGTCATTCTCCCTGGACCACCTCTCAGAATGAGGAAGCAGTTCTACCAGCCAGAGGGACATATTCATAGGGCTGCCCAAGCTCTGCAGCTTTAGGCACTCTTTTTTTCAGTTATTCTCCTTCTTATGAGGCCCTGCTTTTAGAGAAGACTTTTCCCATTGATATTGCTCTGTCATGGCCCAAGAAGAACCATGGAGGAAAAGCTAATCATTGATGCCCCAGACAAACATGGCTACTCAGGTGGAAACAGTTTTTGAAGGTGCCATGTAAGAGACTTTTAGCTAGGGAATCAAAGCCTAGACCTTGTCTTGGGAATTCCTCTACTAGGACTTACCACTGAAAAAGTGCTGGCTAGTTAATTTGTACAAGCCAGGACTGTCACAGACAGCTCAGCAGTTTCTACCCATTCTGCTATGACATACAGCTCCCAGTTCCAGGAGGAGTCACTTTTTATGTGGTCTCAGACTGCTGGCCTGTAGCCCATGCCTGAACATTTGGGTTTTGTTTAATGTCTATGGGCTACATACAGGGAGTAGCAAGCCCTTATCCCTGTGCTATCTGGTGCAGGTATCCATGTCCTTGGTGACATCCGACAGTAGACCAATGATAAGACAGAGTACCAAATTATCCCTTCTTGTAGTGGTAGCCAGAGAGGGATGGACAAACTCTAAGTTCCAGAGCAGTAATTCTTAACTTGGACCTTAGCAAGTTCTGAAAAACAGCTGAGAGAGAACCAAGCTTTCATTTGATTCTCAAACCTAAGTCTCAAAAGAGACAAAGAACCTTTACTTTAAAAAAGAGCAGTTGGGGCTGGAGATATGGCTCAAGCGGTAGCGGGCTCGCCAGGCATGCGTGTGGCCCGGGTTCAATCCTCAGCACCATATACAAACAAAGATGTTGTATCCGCTGAAAAAACTAAAAAATAAATAAAATTCTCTCTCTCTTTACAAAAAAAAAAAAAAAGAGCAGTAGTTCTCACACTTAAGTGTGAGAATAACCTGGAGGGCTTGTTTCATCAGGGAGCGATAGTCCTTTTTTTTAGATATAAGTGTTGATATAAGTGTCTTGCCCCTGGTGACTGAAGGAAACCAGCCCCAGAGGTTCTGGTTTGTTAGGTATGGAATAGGATCCCAGAATTTGTATTTCCAGCAATTTCCAAGGGGCTGCTAATCATTAGCTCTTAGTCCAGTGTTCACACTTTGAGAACCACTGTTTTAGAGGTTACAAAAAAATCATGAGGGGCTTGAGTTCAACTTTTCAGATAAGAGTTCTAAAAGATTCCACAGTCCAGGGCTGGGGATATGGCTCAAGTGATAGCGCGCTTGCCTGGCATGCGTGAGGCACTGGGTTCGATCCTCAGCACCTCATAAAAATATATTGTGTCCACCTAAAGCTAAAAAATAAATATTAAATAAAGATGCCACAAATCCTTTAAACCACAATATGTCCCAAGGAATTTGAGATATTATTTTTGGAAGAAGCCCCTAGAGAGTAACAGACTCTAGACCTTTCCTTGGGGGCCAGGAAACATCTGGGAAACAGCATTTTAGATGGTGCAGGAAAATGCCTCTAGAAACTTAAAAAGCCCAAGCAGAACTCTGAGTTGGAAAGTGCATGGCTGACCCTGGCTGACCCAATTCCTGGATCAATTGTTGGTAAACAGAAAGGTTTGGGGAATCTGTAAAGACTCACAGCCTCTCCTGGAGACTGCCTCACTCACATAGAAGGTCTGCTCTAAGGAAGAAAGGGTGTTTTCTGGAGTTAGAATCTGGGAGACAGAAGGAAACCAAAAACTTAATGAGACAGAGTTCAAAAGCCTCATTCACAGAAACTTTTATTCAGGTTGTTATGGAAAGGGTAGGAAGAGGCAAGGACAGTACTCAGGGCTGTGCTTACTTCAAGCAAGAGCAGTAGAGAGCCCTGGAAGGGCCACTTGCCAGTTCCCTTCAGACCTGCTCTAAGTCATTTCCCCATAAAAGGGAGGGAGAAATGAAAATGTGGATTCATTCATGAATCAACCTCTAAAACAGGAAGTGTGGCTTTTGAGCTATGCAAAGAAACCCTCCTTTGTACAGAGAACACCGGCTTAGCCATCCAGCTAAATATACCATAAGATGAGACGATGTCAAAGTTGGGAGACACTACATATTAGAGGATGTGGAGGCCAAACTTCAGAGGAAGGCAATATAGTAGGGTTACTGAGAACATGGATGTGCTTTGAAATCAGCCTACCAGAATTTTTTGGGAGGGAGGGGAAACACCTTTTTTTTTTTTTTTTTTTTTTGGTGCAGTATTGGGGATTGAGCCCAGGAGAGCACTCTACCACTGAGCTAATCCTTAGGTCTTTTTTTTTAGTTGTTGATGGATCTTTATTTTATTTACTTATTTGTGGTGCAGAGATTCAAACCTAGTGCCTCACACATGCTAGGCAATCGCTCTACCACTGAACCACAACCCCAGCCAGAGTCTTTTTTATTTATTGGAACAGGGTGTTGCTAAGTTGCTGAGGCTGGCATGGAACTTGCCTCAGATTCCTGGGTCCCTGGGATTATACATGTATAACACTGGGCCTGACTGGACTTTGGATTCTGACTGTGGAACCCTGAGCATGTTAATCTTTCTGAATGATTATACTACTATAGCACCATCATTTGTCAAATGGAGGTAATAATGATGCCTTACAGGACTGAAGTAAGAATGAAATGAAACAACCTAGTTAAAATGCTTAGCTTGGTGCCTTGAGTATTTTAAGCACCTGTTTGAAAATAAAAAGATAGTGGGGCTTAGTAAAATTTAGGATGCTGATAATATAGACCCACCCTTAGTGCCATTACCAGAGACAGAAGGTGAAGGTAGGGTGGAGGTGCTGCTAGTCTCCACAAGAGACTGACAGAGGTTGAGATGAGTCAGCAGGATGGGAGAGGATGCTTACGATGATGGAATCAACTGGACAACCTGCTGGCTGTAAGGTGGGGATATCCTACTCTTTTAAACAATTGTGACATTTTCTCACTGTCAATCTAAGTGCCAAATAACCTGATTTGAACTGAAGTAAATGAAAATCAATGTTGATAGCAATATTGGATTGACATATTGGAAACACTCTGGAGATATGCAAAATTAAGGTGGAATCTCCATTGTCAGGAAAAAATGTGGCTCTTCCTACTTAAGTTCCAGAAATATGGAGGAAAGTGCTAATATGACAACAGTGGAGGTATGATTCTGAGGAAAGCTGGCAGCTGACCCTGAAAAAGAGAGATCTCTTTCCTCTAATTCTGAATGAGCAGAAACTCTTCCAAAATCCAGTACCCTAAGCCAAAAAGTTCTCTCTGCTTAGAAAGCAATTGTTACTACAACTAGGAACAAAGAGATTTCTAAAAAAAAAACATGCAAAAATAGCCAAAATAAATTACATATCACATGGTTAAATAAAAGCTTACATCCCTTGGGGGTGAGGGTGGGAAAATTATATTACCTTAGAAAACAAAGAGCTAAAGAAAAGTGACAAAAAGTTCTTGAGCATGTTATGCTGGGTCCCTTGCTTGAGGAAACCCATGGCCCTACTAGCCTTGCCTTGTTCAGACCTATCCTAAGTCTGACTTGTTTCTCTTGCCGTCCTGTTACAGGACCTTGCTTCCAGGCTTCTTGTTATCCAAATGAACAACTGGGCATATTTATCATGGTCTCACTTGTGAGTCTTTGAAAGAATAAGGCCACAGGACAATTAGGAAGGGGACTTTTTCACTGGGAGGAAATGGTGGCTAGAGTTTTCACCACAAGCTCCTGTTCTTCGGAGCCCTCTTCTTGGACAGAGACCCAGAGATTCATCTGATCTCACTTTGAGGAGAGGAGAATCTGGTCTCTTCTTCAGGAAGTACTGCTGCGTATCCCCTAAAATCAGAGGTACTGCAGAACTTAAGGAAACTAAGTTTCTTAGGTATCCCACTCACCTCTCCATAACAGTGGCACCTTTAGCTTTATGTTTTGATAAAGTTTGTTATTTTTTTTTTAAGTCGGTGGTTGTTAGGTATGAAAGCCACTTCAATCCTGTTGTTCTCTATAAAGGAGGGTCATTGTAGCAAGAAAAAAACAAAGCAGTAATTTACAATGATAAACTGTCTTGGGATTCACCCAGGGAAGCCTGGAATTGTAATACTATAAACTTGAGATATTCTATGGCCATGCATCAATTTTTAGAATATAACCATTCATTGTCATATACACATATATAACATATATATATATATTTTAAATAATGTTGAAAGGCTTTTTTAAAAAAATTTTATTTATTTAGTTAGTTGTAGTTGGACATAATACCTTTATTTATTATTATATGTGGTGCTGAGGATCGAACCCTGGGCCCCGCATGAGCTAGGCGAGCGCTCTACCACTGAGCCACAATCCCAGTCCTGAAAGACTTTCATAATGTGATTTTTGCCAGGAACTTTGGAGATCTATTTGTTCTAAGTCTTTCTATTATACAGCTGGAAGGGAAGTGAAAACATCAAGAATGATAAACCAAATGGATAAAGCCACAAATAAAACTTCAAACTCCACTTCTGCAAGTTGAGGAAAAAACATACCCAAGGCCTTTGCTAGTTTCTGAGTTAGAGGTCAAAACTGGGTGGTTTTCTTTGGTCAGATAATCTACTCTTCTAGGAGAAGGTCCCAATGAAACTATTCTGAAGGACAATTCCTGTGCCATGTTTTCATGGCTAACTTAATTTACTGTCATTCTATTCATTAGGAAAGCAGTGAAAGGAATCTTTTATTTCCCTTTCTCTCTCTCTCTTTTTTCTTTTTGTGGTGATGGGGATCATATCCAGGGCCTTCTGTATGCTAGGCAAGGGATCCACCATGGTACTACATCCTCAGACCAAAGAGGGCTTATATTAAAGCACAACTTTCATTTTCTGTAGAGTATTATTTTCTGATATGGGCTCTCTTACAATCTTTCCACTACTCCATACCCATCTCAAATTTAAAATGACAGAAAACAAAATCTTTCCATCAGAAAGGAACCTGAACTATAGGAAAGGTTTTGCCTTCTCTTTAATGTGATAGATGGTCAACTGTCACACCCTCAGGGGAAAAAAAAAATGACCCAAGATGCCTGACAGAGAGTAAGTCACATAAAATCTTTAAAATAAATAAATTCTTTAAAGTAATAGACTTTTACAGTGTGAGAGAGCAATTTAATGTTTGCAGTCCATTCATGATCATAAGTAACAGGCAAGTAGTAGCACACCAGCTACTGAGTCCTTTGATAGATGGTTCCATCTATCAAACAAAATAAACACAAAATAATCAGAGCCACCAGACCCCTTGCCCCCCAAAGCACTGAAACAAAAGACTGATCTGTTTATATAGTCACATGAAAAATAAACATCTTTATTTTTTGCCTACTTTATTTCATTTTTTCAAATAAAATTTAAATCTGTACAAAGTATACTGTTACAGTATATATTTTGTAAGAATCAATGCCTAAAAGAATCACAATACTTCAATAAGCAGTACAGCAGACCTCGCTAGTTTCAGCTTTGATATTGAACAAACTCAAGCCGGCTGATGCACAACACGTTTGCTTGGTTTCCACATGGTGAGTTCCCAGCACTGAGATGGGAGAACATGACAGCAAATATGGTTATATTACAGCCCGACACACTGCGCTTCTTCATGTGATAATAACTGCACATATTTAATACAGAATGCTCAAATTTACTTTTTAAATTGCATTTGCTTACTTTTTAGTTGGCAAAATTCAGCATTCTTAAATGGGGTCCCCAAACAGTGCAAATTAATGATATTCTACTGTATATTGGCACATCTCCAATAAGGATTAACTTGTAAACTCAAAGAATATCAACAACTTAGTTCTAAATTTTAACTAATACACATCTGGTCCATTTAACCAAAGTCATTTTGGAAAGATATTAAAGAACAATTCTATTTCTGAAAGAATCTTGTTTTGACCAATCTTTAGAGAAGATAAATTTTTAAATTGTCATTAAAATGTTTTACTATAAAAGCTTACAAACTTGATTAGAAATTTCAACATTATGATTCACAGCAGACAAATACAAACTGCATATATTCCAACAATACCTACTCTTAGGCTTTCCAACAGAGCACAACCATGTCAGCTGTGTTAACTAAAATTCTGAACAGTGTACTAAATTTATAAGTGGTGCTGGGTCTAGCAAGTGTAAATACACAGTATATTTCAATGAAAAGAATTGTCTTCTTTATACTTTATTTGTTTTCCCATAAGGAAACATTATGTTTACATTCTTTAATAAAGTTAATCTTACATCAGAATATAACTTAATACTGTCAGCAACAGGGACCACACACAGTAAATAAGAAGCACATTTAAAATAAGTCTGAATTCACATAGATTAACATTTGTTGGTTAATAAAATATCAACAGTATTACAATCTTACAATATTTACAGTAAGAAAAATCTAGAGTAATATATACCTTTCACAGCAGGATTCCTTTTTTTTAAATTTCTTCCAGTTTGGGATTGTGTATACACAAAAAGCTCAAAATAAAGCAACTCTGCAATATAATCTTAAAATAATGGCTACTAGGGGGAAATTCTATCACAACCATTGAAAATAATGGTGACTTCTCACGGAGTCTGTGGCATCTGAGAACCCAGTTAATTAACCAAAGTCTTGCTCAAACCAGCCTCAGTTACCCAGATTAAAGCTGCAGAACTCCGGCCTTCCCTGACTGCTGAAAACCCAACAGATTTTCTCATCATGCTATAAGAAAAGAGGGAAAATTGGATTCAGCTTATACCTCATGGCTGGAAACCTCCAGCCAGTGCACATTCCCTAATTTATGCCAAAAGGGGGCTGATTTCATCCCCACAGCATCATAAAAGTCCCAAGCTTACTCATTCCTCAATTCCTGTCCATTAGGATAAGGCATGAACTTGGTCCATATAGTACATACACATCAGTATCTTAAGAGACTTGGGACGGGGCAAAAAAACAGATTAGTGTAGTTTGCACTGTCATCAACAGGAAAATGGGAAGTTATGCACATTTTCAATTAGAATGACAAGAAGAAGACCCACATCCCTAAACTGGAATTTGGCTAGGGCATCAGAGTTAGCACCCCCTCTCTGAGTGCCACCAGCAATTAGGATGTGTGCTCTGGGCCTTCTCTAAGAGAGAGCATCTACAATAAGTAACACAGTGTGGGACATAAGTTCAGTGACCACTCCCAAGAAAGCAGATACGATTCTTGAATCTGGGGCTGTCTATGGCACCTGAGGTCAATCATCCAAGCTGTGACCTGTCCCAACCCTGCTTACTTTAAGGTATCTGATGGGCACAGAGCACTCAGGGATACGGCTGCTGGCTACTTTGGACTCTAGATCTCACAGGTAATCAACAGGTATCTGGGATTGAATTAGCAAACTGTACCATGGCTCCTTAAACAGACACTGTCAGGTTTGAAATCATGTCAAGCATGAATCTTCACTGTCAGGTCAGAAATAAAGTGGGAGTCTTCCCACATTAGCCAAGGTTATTTGGTCAAAACCTTAGAGGAGTTGGACAGTTTTTCATGTTGCAAGTGATTAGTTTACTTATTTCAGTCAAGCTGGATTGGCAAACCAGGCTGATATATTTAGTTTTGTTTTTTTGATTCTTATATATGTGCTAACCCAAAGCTGTTGTATTTGGGCTAAATACACTGACAGAGAAAATTCAAACAACAAAAGTTTCAGCAAACTTCTGTGGCATTTTCTTTTTGGAAGTCAATGCAAGATCAAAAGGTATTTCTACCCAACAAAGTCTGTTTAAGTGTTTAATGTTACTTCCTTTTTTGGTCCTATACAGAATGCTATAACTTCTATATAGGTCTGAATGCAGCTCCATGTAGATTCCTTCTGTATATCTAAAAATATATACTTTTCAGTAGTTCAATACATGGTTAATCTTCCCACAGAGGAAGATTCTTGTAATCACATGTTGCAAAGTAGAAAAACATCTCCTTTCTAAGAAAGGAAATATACTTTCCTATTGTACACTTTTGAATAAGCCCAAAGGCATGCACCAAAAATCATTATTAAAACTAATACATGCACTAAAATGGTGTAGAGTTAGACTTAAAGTGCTGCTTCTCAATTTTTAAAATTTGAAGACATTTTGTCAGTTGTTGACTCAAAGATCCCCCCCCCAATGGCATCAAGAGAGAAAAGTAAAAAGTATGCATAAATCTATTCTTTACATGGGGGAAAGAATGGATATATTAACTATCCTATTTATAAACTGGATTCCCAGTTTTAAATAAATCAGTATTTACTGGTAAAAATTGTCAAAGCTAATACACCCAAACAAATATTACTAGTAAATAATGTTCTACATAGAGAATAATTTACTTTGGTTTTATGCACCTTCTCAAAAATAATACTAGTGTCCCATACATCACCAAATTGATGTGTTCCAGCAAAGTTGTAAGGCAAATCTTTTTTTCCCTAGTAACATCTTGTTTCCCAACAGACAAAACTAAATTCTTTTGGTGAAGAAGGGGTTAAGATAATGGCTAACCCCTTGGCATCCTGAGCATTGTGGTTTATCAAACTCTACCCTGCTAGAAATTGTCAGGCACCCTGACCCCTGTCTTGAACCAGGAATGGCTCCCATGTCTAGAGATGCCCTGACTGCTTATGAATAGCTCTCAGAACTTTGCTTCTTTTTTCCTTCTGTCTGGATGTTATAAAATTTAACAAAGCTGGTTGCAATGACACATTTTGATAGTAGGGGCCACCATCTAATAATAATTAATTCCATCTCAAATGTTTTAAGCCAATAGTTAGTTCCTAATTTTATCAAATACTGGTATTATAATCTTCTCTACAGAGTTTACTTAGAGCAGAGATCCTTAACTTGGGTTTCAGAAGATGTGTGATGCCCCTGAGGTTGTATGCAAAATTATCTGTGTATGTGCATTTTTTTTTCTGGGGAGAGGGTCCATCACTTTCATCAAATTATTAAAGGTACTATGACCCCCCAAAAAGGGTTACAAGGACTTAGAGAGATACCCGTAATGTATTTTATATCAAGATTGGGAAATGGGGGTAGAAAACAAAAAACTGCCTAAAAAAGAGGGGATTGGAAAGGAAAATGCTGATCTTTCCCTTTATTCACCTTTGGGAAATAAGAGCTTCAAACTATGAAAAAAGAATTAATTAAGCTGGTTAAACTCCATTAAAAAAAACCCCAAAACCATTTTCTAATTTTTTTAGTTTTCCATAAGTAGTAAATTTAGCCTCTAAGAAAAGGTTTAGAAGCTAAATTTTTCTCTTTTCCTAAAGGAAATTCATAGATACAATGCCGAACATCATCCACATTTAAAGATCTGACAACATAAAACAAGCAACTCTAATGATGTGAGCCTTTAACTTGCAGTTTTGAGTACAGGATTATCTAGAGTCAAATCCACATTGTTAACCTTCATTTCCCAAAACTGGTCCACTACCTGGCATAATTCCACTAAATAAACCTAAAATCTGGACGATGAAGTTCAAAACTTTCTACTCAAATTGAAAACAAAGCCACATGTTCCAAAATAGAATCCGGTCCGAAACATTCACACTATGTCAGAGATGACATTCTCATTTTAAATACATGACCAAATTTTCAACAGAATTTGCAAACATAAAGATTCAGAACGACTAGCAAAACATGCTGAGAAGAGCATGTCAAGAATTAAAACACCACCCCCCTCATCCAGAAACACATTCAGGCATTCCAAAAATAAACCAGATTTGAAAAGAGGGCCTCTCCACTTGTTGGTTTTAAGTATAAGGTATGTTAAAAGCTATGGGAAAAGAAATATAAAATAATTCAATAACTTACAAAAAACAAATTTAGCCAAAACACATCTTTCTGTTCTATTGACAAACCTATTAATTTTTTTTCTTTTTTTTTTTTTGCAGTTCTGAATATGGAGTTGCGCAATCTCACTGAGACAAAAATTATGCTCACAGGTACACTTTTTGTTCTTTCTAGAGCACATCTTTGAGGTTATAAGACTAGCTCTGGTTAAAATAGTCTCATCCCTTGCTGCCCTTTCCCTTCAAAAAGTAAACCAATCCTGTATTCTAAAGAGAAAGAGACATTTAATATAACTATTTCAATACTAGTTCTATTATATAAACCATGAGAAAACTATATGAACATTATAGAAAACTACATGAAAAGAGGGAACTGCCACTTGCAACCCACTTCACCTTTATAAGCATGTAACCAGTAAGACTCACTGACTAAGTGAAAACAGAACAACACTCTAAAATCAGACTATCTCAGGGTGGAAGTTGGATCTCAAAGATACACACACACACACACACACACACACTCTCTCTCTCTCTCTCTCTCTCTCTCTCTCTCCCCTCCTAAGCTTTCATTTTGTTTAGTTTAACAGTTTAATAAAGCTCACATTAACAAGAATTTTATTGGCAAAATAAAGGCCCATATTAAAAATTTTACCAAAACAAATTTTTGTATTACATAGCTAACAATAAGGAATGTTTTCTTGGCCTTATAAAGCATATTTAATTGCATATAAGTTTTGCTTTGGGTGGGATACTGAAAACATAATTCTGCAAGAAACTAGAAAAGACTAGAAACAAAAGTGAAAGTGACTAGTCTTAACTCTCAAAAAATCAAGTGCAAAGATAAATAGTGCAAATAATTAAAACTAGAAATTTTATAGGCAACTTTACATAGACTTTCCTGCTTTTTCACTTTAACATACTGACAACTTTATAAACCCTAACAACTGTATGCAGCATGGAAATGGGCTATCATTTATCTCCACTGATTAGACTCAAGGAAGCCTTTCAAAGACTTGTCTCAGAATCATTTAAATCACTGGTTTTCTTGACACAGGTTTGGGAATTCACTTCTTTTTAAATGACTCCTATGGGAGGGGCTATTTAAGAAGGCTCTGCACTAACTTAAACAAGTTATAGTAGGTAACTGTATTATAATTTAAAATCTGACACAATAAAATGTGAAGATTATATTAACTGCCAACTCTACAAAATAAGCTATGTAAAAATAATTCTTCTATTGTTAATGAACTTGACATTTATAAAAAAAGAAATTACCTCCAAATACAAAATCAGAACCTCCTTTTTGGGCTATTTAAAGAGATTTTTATTACTAACGTATAGAGATCTGATTAAAACAAAACTTGAAAGTAATTTGTTAAAATCATTGGAAATAAATTTAAAATAGTAAATTTGCCAACAGTTAATCCAAATATATCTAAAATTACATAACTTTAAAAACAAATACAGCAATTCTTTATTTTAAATAATTTAAAATACCCCTGGGATTACATTGTCAGCTCACTCTACAAAGAAGGTAAGAACCTCAAAGATGTACTAAATTATATAATTAACATCTGCCACCACTGAACTCTTGGGAATTCTATAATTTTAATGTAAGAGAGAAAGTGGGAAAACAAATAGTAACATAAATATAGGAGGTATGCTGTCTAATTTCAGAAATGTAGTATTAATGAAGACCTCATAAGGTCCACAATGTTAAATGGTTGCCAGGACTGCAAATGTAAAAGAAATAGAAAAAATATCTAAAATTATAATTTAGTACTATTACCTGGTTTATTGTCTTCTAAGAAATTTATGTGAACCAGAGGCTAAAGTTTCTTTAAAAGGAAGAATCTTAGGATATGGATCTTTGTAGACTGCAAATCAAATAATTTGACCTAAGGACCATTTTGAAAAGTAAAGGTAAACCACATTGTGACAAGTGCCCAAGAAAATAATGATGTACTTATCTGTAATGATAAGGATTACCGATATATTCAAATGATAACTGTGAAAAGTTTGAAACTTTATCATCTTTTTCTCAAAATAAGTCACTAGCACCAACTTGCCTTGACCAGAAAAGATGCCACTCCACAGCTGATACTTAAAATTTGTCTCAGAAAAGCAAGCATCCTACAGATGAAAACAGATTTGCATAATATAGCATCAGCATCATAGCTAGCTATAGACCAACAGTTTTCTTTTAGTGATTGAGGAACCTATTGCCTCTGGTTATTGAAACTTTTGCAGTGAAGATCAACTTCATTGTTCCTAGCAAACAACTCTCATTCAGACTTCACCTTAGTTTCCTACCTCCAATAAAAATTCCTCCCACTTTACCTCCAAACCATTCCCTTAGGTACCTCCCACACCCCCATTCATAAACACATTAAACAGCTTTCCCCTTCCTGCTCTCAAATTTCCAAATCAGTAAGCCTCAGTTCCCAGTAGCTTACCTAAAATACACATACTTCTTACTTTCTTCAATTTGCAAATTTCTTAACAAACATTAATTTAGATGCTCTTCAAATTGCCAACTATAGGGAGAACAGCAGTCAGAAAAAAAAATGCCCAATTACCTCAAAATATAGAAATCTTTCTGGATCACCAGTTAACTATGTTCTAAGACAGGAATCAGCGATTTCTTTACTTCTTTCTCAAGTGGGTAAGCTTGAATGCTACTGGCAGGCCTATGGCAAGAATAAAGAAGAAAAGGAGAGAGAAACAAAGAAAAAAGAGGATAGGAGAGACAAGATATCAGATATATAGGGTAAGGAGGTAACTCAAGAGCCACCAACAATTTTAACTGCTAGAAATTGCCAATCCACTCCAGCTGGATGGGAGTTTGACTCAATTTCAGTATGATCCTAAAAAATCATTACCTGATGGTCATCACTGTTTGAGCTAGTCAACATAGACATCATCTGTCCCATAACTTTAATTGCCACCTAACAACAAGGATATCTTTTTCTAAATTCTCCTAGAAGCCTTCTATATTAGTACATCTTAGACCAACATACATGCTAACAAGAGTAGTTCCATGTTTTTCACAATTCTAGAATACAAGGGCTTTGGTCCTTATACTTGGAGACCTCTTGGATCTGAAATCAAGAAAATTATAAACTCTTTAGCTTAAATTTTCCCCCATGAAATGCTACACAATAATTGGTAAGCAAATTATTAACAATCAAACAAAGTATCTGTGAAAACACAAAATCTTGATTCCAAAATGAGCAAAATATTTCTGGTTCTTATTTTACAAAGAGGATCATCATCATCTTTCTATCTATCAACAAGACAATTTTCCACAAAAGCAAAGGACATCAGGAAGAAGGAAGAAAGGATAAGGGAAGAAAAAAAGAAGGAAAGAAACAATAAATGCCAAATGTAATATGGATAATTAAATGAATGAGTAGCTATGAAACTCTTAAGAGAAATGTTTTTAACAAGTGACTTTTGCCATATTCAATTTTTCTATAGACATAAATTGCCCAGACCAATTAACATCAAAATTTGGTAGTCAGTTTGGCAGATAAAAGATGACAACCTGTTGACTTAAAACCAATCATATTTTTCACATTTCATCTGATTGTTCTTGTACCTTGAAACTCTACCTGACTCAGGCTAATGCTAGTATAGATTTATCTTTACTTAACCCATAATCATGAAATTTCTGTTGAAAAGAGCCAGTTGAATGGCCTAGGCCTTAGGCTTTATTTTAGGATCAAATAACTTCATAAATCAGCTTTTCTTAAAAGTACATTGCAAACTCTGCGAAGAAGACTCTATAGAAATTAATGCTGCTGGGCAAAAACAGTAATTTTAATAGATGTGATCACTTTAGTTTATGGTGTACTTCATTGTAAATGGCCTAAATTTGATTAACATGTAATAAAGAAAAACAAATATTACAATGTATGATTTAAAAATTAATAAAATTTAACAACTTTATACAAAAAACTGGTGAATTTATTTGCTTTTTTAATTCCATTTCCTCCACTCTCATGAAAAAGTAGACATATGTATAATTGTATATGTACATGTACATACACATATACATATATATCCAATGTATTAAGACATTCAAATTAGGGATAATCAACTATAAATACTATGCCATAGTTATCACCAATTATTTCAAATCTAAGTTGCTTAAAGATGCTCTTGTTTTAGCATCCTTTAAAATAGAAAGCAATATCTAATTCAGATATCCAAAACTTTGAAAAAGAAGAAGTCATTAGAGCTGGTACCTCACTTTTTATAAGAAATCTTACAAGTATATTCATGTTTAAAAAATTTAAATGTAGAGTTATGAAAGTTATTAATTTATTAAATTCAGAAAACCCCATTCTAAAATCATTGTGTGTGTGTGTGTAAAACATGAAAATATGAATGGTAATATTGAAGAAAAGAGAGTGAACCATGTGTGGGAGATAAAAATAATCATGCTCATGGTGGGGGTCATCATGACTAGCAGATAACCCAAAATGTCATAAAAAGAAAAACATGTTAGTTTAGAAAGTTTCAACAGTGCCAAAACACAAAATTTTAAAGCACAGAAATAAATATGAATGAGATAACCTCTCCAAACATTGAGTTCCCCAAGAAACCAGGAAGAAAAAACTTGACATAGCATCTTTTTAAATATACTAAATCTTAACTGATTGAAAGATGATATAAAGTGCTTGGGCCATCATACCCTCCCAGATACTTATCATCAACGGATTTATCTTTTCCCCTCCCTTCCACCCAAATTTAGTTCAGTTTTCCTGCAGAAAAAGTACAGCATCCCTACATTAAACGAAATGAAAACAGTGAGTACAACTGATATAGATCCATTGACTTTTATTACAAATGTACTTGATCACTTGGCTTCAAAAAGTTTAAAATCAATACCCTATTTTCTGTATGCCAGTACAAAGCAAACTGTTTTACAAATTAAATACCTAAAAATTTGACAAAAATATTAAAATTTGATGAAAAACAATTATAAAAATCCTTAATCTCTCTTCAAAAAAGGAGGCAGTCTTCCCAGTCCTATTATACAATATTAATAGTATTCACCATTTTTAGAATAGGTAGCTAAATTATATTTTTCTGTTAGCATAAAAAACTCTTTAAACTAATAGACTTTATTTGTATATGCTCCAGTTAAGTTCGTGAATGCCATCTGATTGCAATATAATCAACTATCTTTAATTAAATTCTCACTTACACTTATTTAATAATTTGCATAGTCTGAAAGGGATAAAGGTTATTCTAAGACTAATTACCATAGGCTATTACAGTGCTATTTTTCAAGGCAATAAGTATTTGCTCCCAAATGAAATTGTCTGTCTTCTTTAGGCAGGGGTTAAAATTACTAGCAGCTTTCTCCATTACCTGAAAAATCAAACTGGAAGAGTTATCCATCTCTAAATGTGAAGCCCTAAAACAAAACAAAACAAAACAAAACATCGATATACTTTCCATTTTGAATAAAATTTCAACCCCTGCGTGGGACAACCAGAAAGTGAGACTTTCAAGGTTTTGTTTTTTTTTTAAATTTCCCTGTTGGTTTTGGTTTCTACTTTCCATGGCTTTTGAGAAGCTGGAAAACAGTCTGTCTTTCCTGACTAGCATTGTCTTTTTTTCCATTTGGCAAATAATCATCTACATCCAATCTGTATCTAGTAGAGGAAAAGCCGACATGGCTTTTCTTATGAACTTCCTTTGTTGTCAAAGGAATGTATAATGATTTCTACAGTTCTGGTTAGTTAACTTTAGCTCCCTCTGTGGCTGGATGACTGCTGCTTCTAACATCAGCATGATAAATAGGAGGTACAAATAAAAAGTAGCTTTAAAAAAAGATTTGGTGATTAAAATGACAACAACAACACCAAACACACCACACACACACATACACACACACACACACACACACACACACACACACACACACAAGCATTTCAAATCTGGTGGTTGATCTCTGGATTAAATTACTTGACAGTGTCTCTCATTTTAAAGAACGTCAATATTGCAATGCATTTCAAGTTTTCTTTTTTTACTTAGGCAAATAACAGTTTAACCAAGCTTTTGGACCTTAATTATAAGACAAAGAGATCAATAAAAATAAGGCATACTTGTCAGGAATTAAGCTTTGTTTGCTTATTTTTGGCACATTTGATCATACTGTCTTCTATGAATAACACATATGGTCAAATATACCATTCTTTTTTTCAGCACAAACAGGGTTTACCAACTAGTAAAATAAAAACAAGAAATTCCAACATAAAACACTGAATAATAGAACCTTGGTAAAGTACTGAGCACCTGGGAGGGGGAAGGTAGGGGCAGGATGAAACAGGAGAGGGGAGAAGGTTGGGAGGGTGTTTGGGGAGGTAAAGTGAGATGCTTAAAAAAAAAAAAAAGAGCATCTTTACAGTCACCTAAGTCTTTTTCTATGATCACTTCTTAAGTCTTAAAAGATCTGTATGTGGATTTCTTTTTAAATCCACTGACCATAAATCAGACAATAGTTTCAAAATCCTGGTAAGATTGTGTTTAACTGTTAAGAGTGTAAAGACAACTGCACAATACATGTGCTTCTTGATCCGGTAGGATTCCAAACAGAATCTGACGTCTATAGGTAAGAAAGGCTTCGCTTTAGGTAACTGACCCTAAAGAAAACCTCAGGAAAGAACTTGCATCTCAAAGAAAGGACACTTTGCCTAAGTTTGCTGTGTTTTTGTTGACTTGCACTACTTATTGCTGGCTACCATGAAACACTGATCTAAGAGTACTCCAACAACCTGTAGTACAAGGCCTACCTTTTAAGAAGCTATAGTAAACAAGAGACAAAATCAAAGCAATTCTCTTTCCTAATTAGTAACAGCACAGAGAATGCAATCTTTTCCATATCACAGTTAAAGTACAGTGAACAAAACAGCTCAACAAACCTTAAGACAAAAAAAGTGCAGGTTATTAATGTTTACATGCAGTTGATAAGCATTCCAAATGTCACATTATGCACTGTAAAAGCTCAACTTTACTATATGGAAATAAGAAAAATGCACCTTGGGGGAAGGGGAAAAGCAATTTAATCATTTCCAGTGATTTTTGCAAGTAAAGAAACTCCTAACTACTGTACGGTCACCTCATATTTAACATTGTATGAATATTAAAAGCAAACAATTTAATGGGAAAATGCACAGTACAATGAAAATAGCTTGTTATTCAACACATACAGTAGATCTCAAAAACAAAGACAACACTCTCAACCAGGGAGCTTAAAAATATCAAATCAAAACTCAAAGAACCAGCAGAAAAAAAATCCTTCAAAAAGACAACTGTTTCGCCTTCCTAGGCCAAATGCTTTACAATGTGAGAAGCACTGATACCTTCCCGCTCCTACAGGTGGTGTTTTCTACATACAGCAGTTAGATCTATATGGCTGGATTTGCCAAGAAACAATTCCATCCCCAGAACTCTCTGTCAGACAAGATCTGAGATCCTTTTTTTTTTTTGTTTTTTTTTTTACCAAAATACTTTCTACACAATTCCAAATCAAAAATCAAAATGTACTGTTTAAGGCATCTTTTTTTTATAACATTTTCTCTTCACTCAAAGATGATAGTCATGCAGCAGTTTAATGATAAAAATATATTAATATTTTACTATACAGCAGCAAGAAGTTAGTTGTCAATTAAAAGCACACAAACATCTTTAAATGAAAACCTGTGAAAGACTACCATTACAAACAATTTCAGTTTGGAGGACACTAGCTTGGTAAAGTGCTCTCCTAAGCTTTGCATTTTCATACCCTACACTTTGAATATATGAGTTATAGAACATACTTTGATAAAAAGGCTTGTACACTTGGGGAACACAAATACACTTAGCATATAATGTAGCCAGTAATAACTAGCACCACAGCTACATGGAAATCCTTTACATACACCAACTTGGCTTTCACTTTAAAAACGAAACTCAAAATCCATGGCTCAGTAGGATAACTATAATTGTGTTGCTCTGCTTTTTAACAGGTCTACATAAGTTAATAGCACTGGCAAAAATCAAAGGATAGCTTCAGACCTCTTACAAGTTTAGGAGACAGTGCTAGTGACCACAAATAGACTCACTACCTGAAGTCCAAGTACAGGTTCACTGGAAATTGCTGCACGTTAGTTAAGTTTTTAAAATCTTTCTACATATAATAAAAAAAATATATTATGAACAATACAAGTACATCTCATATACACAATAACAAAACGCCTACTCAGTTAAAGCAAACAGATGCAGAAAAATATGGGAGATTTCCTTTTTCTTTCTTTCTCTTTTTCCTTTTACTATTTGAATAACTTTGGTTCCAACCATAAAAATCACAACTTAGCAAATTTCATTTAAATGCCTTTTTTAATAATTTCTTCATGTTCACAGAAGTTTCACTGACCATTTTTATGTTTAAGGTCCAGATGCAATGCATATTGTATAAAAGAGAGCACTTATTGTTTACCTTGCATGAATTAAACCTACGTACCTTTAACTCTACAAACTTCTGCATAACATTTAGACAAAGCTCAGACACACAGCATGCCTAGCCCTCATATATATACATATCTCTAATCACAGGTATATAGGGTGTCAAATATACTATAATAACCTCCATGTAAGGTTTGAAATTTGGTAACAAAATGAGAAAAACTAAAAATATTATTTTACGTGTTCTAAAATATCTCTTTTTTGTGCTAAAGTCAAATGTTAGCTCAACATGAAAAGGACTTTTATATAATTCAGCAATATTATAATCTTGACCATTTTGCAAACACTTTTAATAATAATAGCTTAAACGTGTACAAAAGTTCTTGGTTAATTAGGGAAATAAACACTCAGTTCTTTATATTTTTTAATCAAGTAGGAAACACAGTTCATATAATGTTATTACTTTTTGTATTTTTTTTTGTTTTTTGTTTTTAGCAGCTGCTTACTGTTTTATATGGTGGATAAAGTGGACAACATCCAGCGATGGGTGGCAAGTCAAGAAGAGAAACTGTCAGTTGGTGGAGGTTCTGTGGGTGGTGCTCCCTTGGAGTTTACAGTTATTTCTTTTTTTCTTTTTTTTCTTTTTTTTTTTTACTTTTTAACTTTTATTTTTATCTCTTTCTTTACAGTATATTTTCTGTGTGTGGCTGTGTGTGTGTGTGTGTGTGTGTGTGTGCATGTGTGTAGGGTTTTTTTCCATTCAGTTTGATCAATCTTCTTCCCCTTCTTCTTCACCCTGCAGTAGCAGAGTGGCAGCGGCGGTCTCCTCCTGCTGCTGCTGCTGCTGCTGGTGGAGCTGCTCACAGGCAGCCCGCTTCTCCCTCTGCTTCTCCTGAATCTTCTTCATCTCCTCGGAGTATTTGCAGAAGGTGTGTCCGAACTTGGCCCACACCTTGTAGGGCACGGTGATGGAGTTGCGGTAGGTGGGCTTCACCTCACTCACTCGCATAAACACGCCGTACTTGTTAGAGCCCACATCGAAGAAGAAGCGCTTGTTGTCCACAGTCAAGGAGGTGCCCTCGGGCAGCTCGGCCGGCTCCTCCTCCACTCCGTAGTCGTCGATGAGCTTGGCCAGAGCGTCACGGAACTCGATGAGCCCCTGCGCGGGCAGCGCAATGGTCTGGCCCTGCGTGGAGCCCAGGCCGGGCCCCCGGTTGACCGTCTGGCGGATGCGCAGGAAGCGGCCGCGCTGGTTCTCCTTGAGATCCATGTAGTACTTGCGGTTCTCGCGCACCAGGAACTCGCTCTTGAGTGCCCGGCGCGGCTCGTCCTGTGCCTGGGCCAGGTCGGGCGGCTGGCTGGGGCCCAGCTGCGCGTAGTGCTCGATGAAGTCTCCCAGGTAGTCGCGGAACTCCACGGCCACTGACATGGAGAGAGTGAGGCGGCTCTTGTTGCCGCCCGCGCCCACCTCAGCGATCTTCAGGAAGCGGCCCTTGGCGTTCTGCTTCACGTCCAGGTAGAAGCGCTTGTTCTGGATGTCCACCCGCTTGGAGGCCAGCTCCTGCGTCTC